TTATCCATTTTCTCTCTGCTCTGATCTCTATCTTTGTCTCTCTGTGCCTCAGTCTTTCTCCCTTTCAATAGCTAGATGATGACAGATGATAATGATAGATAGATAGATAGATGATAGATAGATAGATAGATAGATAGATAGATAGATAGATAGCTGTATATCCAAATCTGCTAGGATTGTTGGCTTTTTAAACCACTGCATAGAAGATTGGAAGACCGGGTTGTCAGGACAGGAGGGGCATCTTTCATCCCAGAATGTGGTGAGAAAACATACATGTATCTAAGATTTTCTCACCCTGGGCTGGAATTCTCCACTAGAATCCCAGGACAAAGAGAAGAGATGAGTTAGGGGCCCTTCCAGGTGTTTCCCTCACCAAGGAAAGGTGAAGGAGAACAACTGTTCCCCCAGAAAATTGGGGCCAGGAATACTCACTGGTGGTAATCAAGACTGTGGCTCCATCGGTGTAACCTGCAAAGGAGAGAGGCACTGACAAGTTGGGGTAAACATAAAGGGTTTCAGGATTTATGTCAGAAAAGCAGAGGGAAGAGGCAGTGGAGAAATGTTCAAGGAGGAAGCAACTAGGCAACGAGACTGAAGGCAGCTGGACTCAGTGATTACTTCATCATAAGGAAGACAACCCAGACCAGAAGGAGGAAAGGAAGGATCAAAGCTCGCTTCAGAGAAATGGAGGCAACACAAAACCCCAGTTGGGAGAGAGGTCAAGCCCCTCACCATTTACATAAAGGCTGTCACTCTCCAGGGTGTAGGGGCCCAGCCGGGTGACACCATGGGTCTCGTGACTCAGCTCCCAGAACAGCCGCTCTCTGTCCAGCCTGGGACCCACGTGGTCAGAGTAGAAGGTACAGACAATGTCCACTCCAGTGGCTGCTCCATGATTCTCAAGCCTGGGGAAGGGAGGACATGGGGATGTGGAACACCATAGGGGCTCCTTCTGGGTGTGGGAACAAGAAAGTGGAAGTGAGAAAGCTAAGACAATGCTGAAAGGGTAGCTCTGAAGCCTAAGGTGAGGGGGAGGAATCTCCTAAATGTCTCTCATCTGAGACAACCCTGTCACAATTGGGGACAGAAAACATTTTAATTAGAATTTGAAGACAGGGTGCAGTAGCTCTTCTAATAAGAGAAACTTCATATAAAACAAAACATTGTCTAAATTACATAAACTATAAATATGATGCCTCATTTCCGACCTTGAGCATTCTCACCACCTCTGGGCATGAAGAAGGCATGAAGGTGTCCTAGTGGGTGCTGGAGGTCAGCGGTGCCAGGGACATGCCCAAGAACTGAGCCCTGCTAGCTGGTGCATGAGGGTCCCCCTGACCTGATGAATCACTCTATCTGGGGATCTCACCTGAGTGAGGCCAGTCTGCAGCCAGAGTAGAGGAGGCCGACACTGGTCTTACTGAGCAAGAGCTGGAGCTGGAGGGGGAAAAGGAGAGGTGAGCAGAAGGGTTGAGGGACTATGGGGGCAGGCAGGAAATGGGGCTAAGGGTGGTCATCGAGGGGCTCTCACCTGGAGCTGTAGGATCCTCTCAGTGGAGTTGAACTTCAAGGAAGCTGGGTGCCCCATGTCCTCTGTGTAGTGCATGTTGGTGATGGTGAAGTTCAGGGTGAAAGACACAAGGGTGGGGCCAGTGGCTGCAGTGGGGGAGGAAAACAAAGATGTCTAATTAGGGCCACAGTGATGACCAAGGGTACCTGGGGCTCTAACCATGGGGCACCAGCAGGGGACTAAGAATAGCCATGGATTGCAGGAGCTGAAAGGGAGAGCATTATGGAATTCCTAAGATACCAAGAACCTTGGTGCATTCATTCAGTGAGCATTTATTGAGCACCTAATGTGTGAGAGGCTGTGTGCTGGGCTCTGCTGGTCCAAACATAAATAGGGCATAGTCTCCTAATGTGACCAGGAGAATAACCAGAGCATACGCTCTGGGAAAGTTGGTGGGATGTGCCATCTCAGGAGGGGCACCCAACAAGTCACTGGGAAAAGATTCCCAGAGGAAGCATCATTTCAGGTGTGACCAAAAGTATGAGTAAGAGTTAGGTGACAGGAGCTGAGCTAGTGGGAAGAGCACTCAAGCAGAAGGAACAGCCTGGGTAAAGGCCCGGCAGGACAGAGCAGTTGCACTCAAGGAATTTGAAGTCCTTTCATTCTGGCCATGGGGAAGTGTAGACATGAGACTGGAGGGATCTTATGAGCTC